GATTGTGAAGTTCAGTTCTGCTGACATTTTTTTTTTTTTTTCTAATGACTACTTCTTAATAATAATCACTGAAATGTATAGATCTCACATTGGAGAAATTTACCTCTGCATTTAACCCATCCCCTTGGGGAGCAGTGGGCTGCCATCATGGGGTGCCCGGGGAGCAGTGTGGGGTTAAGGATCTTGCTCAGAGAGCCAGAGTGACAGTCTGTGGGAGCGGGGCTCAATCTCAGAACCCCAAATTTCCAAGCTCTAAGCCCTAACCACTGGGCCGCCACTCCCCACAAGTTCAGAGTGTATCCTAGAAGACAGTGGAGGGCATTTTAAAGATATCCTGCTTTAAGATAATGAGCTTAACTTTTATGTTCTAACAGTTTTAGCATGAGCTTCCCTCTTCATATGCATGTGAAAATGCATGTGTTTCAGAAAATCCTGCAATAGTTTGAAACACTTTTAAACATGATGAATATTCTAACATTTAGGAGTCACACTGGCTGTCTTTTAAAGAGTTACATCACCACAACATTTCCCCATGCCAGAGTGGAATATAGTTGGAGGAAGTAGAGTACATCATTTAGTGGGCTGTCTGCTGGCTGCAACATCGCACTGGCGTATCCTAGCAACAAGTTTAGAAGAAGGGCTCGCTCAGGCAAAGCCTTGGTTCCAGCCGGTGATCTCTGAGGATTCTGCATGTGTGTGCGAGCCGAGTGTGTCTGTTAGCTTGGTGGGGTAATAGATGAGTGCTGTAGAAATTAGCGTGCTGGCTCAGCCCTGCAGGGAAGATCAATATCAACTATACATTCATCACTAATTATCATGGCGGAAGTTAGTGGGAAACTCTCTTTTCCTTCAACCATCCTTGTGTCTTTAAAAGACTTCTTTTAGAAACACGGTAGATTTGTCTTTCACCTGGTCCTGCTGCTTTTCACATATCTGACCAGCATTTGTTGTAGGATATGCTGACAGTAGTACTTAGACGGAAGGTTGTGTGTGGGATTTTTAAGCAAGGTTGTTCAAGGTAATTATATCACAAAAAGTTTAAATGGTTCTGAAGGAAAACCAGTATGCAGGTAAAATGAAATCAGACATGGAGCAAAAAATTATAATAATTCTAAAAAATATACATTTTTATACAAAGTTCAGTCCTAAAATATAGTTAAAAAAATGTGACCTGAAGATTGTGAATATTTTTAAATCCAAAATAAGATAAGATAAGATAAGATAAGATAATCCTTTATTTGTCCCACAGTGGGGAAATTGCAGGAGCATTTTGTAAAAAAACAATGAGGCCAGAGTTACACAGGGCATACTGTAGCAGGATTTAACAGTATTGAGCAGGGTTAAAGAGCTGAACAAACAGTGACTACAGAACCAAAGAGGGAATATATGCCAAGGAGAATTGATGTGTGGAGGAAGAATCAGATGAGACTAATGAGCAGAGTAGAACAGCTGAGAGTGCAATCAGAAACAGACGTAGTCAAAGGCTGCGTTCGAATTTAGGCGCCAAGGTCTGATCGGATTCCAAGACTCCTCTTATGCGGCCTACAAATGTGCCCTTCTTTTACACTGGACACATTTGAAGGATATGTCTGGTGTATCCTCTCTATCCTTGGTTATCCCAGGATTCATTGCGAATTGAACCGAGCCGACTTCTCCATGCTCAGAGGAAAAAGGTACTTGGCATCGAACAGTGGTGAATATTGGAAGTTCCGTTAAATACAATACAAGCATGTGAATAGTTCTGTCTGAAATGAATTAAAATTGTTGTTTTAATGGTTATTCAGTCAGATATGTGGCGGTAATGTTTGATTTATCTAAAGGTTTTTATCTGTTACTGTGTAAATGGGTTTGGCTGTGATTTAAGGACAGGTTCTAATGGATCTGCAGTTTGGAGACTATAAATCTGATATGATTTTTTATTTTTTTATTGCTATTTTGTTGTTTTTTGTTGTTGAATATAAGAGATTTTGCAGATATATTTTTTCTACATACATTGTTTAGATTTACTTATATCTTTTTACCTCTTTTATAGAATAGAATAGAATAGAATAGAATAGAATAGAATAGAATAGAATAGAATAGAATAGAATAGAATAGAAAAATCCTTCATTATCCTACAATGGGGAAATTCTGGTGTTTACGGCAGAATTCAGCAAAGAAAAAAAGATGGTCACACAAATGTAGACCTTAGAAAAATGTATAAGAATAACATAATAGTGAAGAGTTAAAATATAAACAATAAAATACTGTACTGTAAAGTGTTTTAACAATATAAAAAATGGTGCACCCTGAGAATAAATAACCAAAATAAAGCTATGGAAATTTACAGTAATGGATATTTGATAATAGCAGCAACATCAGAGATGTGCACAATGACAGCAGCATATTATTTAACTGACTAAGATTTATATCATAACATTTGCTATAATTTGTTCATGCTCCTGGTGGTTGTCACCATTATTCCACTCTATTCTCATGAGTATATTCTTTGTTCACTTTACAATAAAACAAGGTTGCGTCCTTGGAGGACTAAGCCCATGAATTCAAACGCACCCAAGGAGAAAGAATTTAGAAACAGGAAGTGAACACAGCCCAGAAACTAAGAAGATATACACAAAAAAAGAAAACCCAGAAATGAATAATACTCAAATCCAAAAGAAGACAAAAAAAATTCAGAAACAACAAGGAAACCGGAAGTAAAGACAACAGAAAACAGAGAGAACTACACTTACCAAAAGGAAGATGTTAATAAGAAACTAGAGACAATATTTAATACAAGTCAAATAACTACTTATAGGCCTTATATTAAAAGAAAAAGCCTTATCTCACTGTTGTAAAAAATGTAAAACTGCAGTGTGTGGAAGTCAACACTAAGCTACTGTAAATGGAGCTCAGTGGTCATAGTGATTTTATTAATTTAAGAATAGTTCAAATTGAAATGTTTTATACAAACAGTGTTTCTGTTACTCTAATTTTTGTATTTGCTTTGAATTCATTCACTCGCACGTATTTGCACCCATAGCGTTTTTATGACTCGCATTTCCTTTGGATGAGTCTGTCATGTCAGTGTGCCTCTCTACCTGTGACCTGTCAGTCCTATTTTGCTCACTTTGAGTCCAGTCAGCTTTGGTCAGTTGCAACAGGCTGTCTATAACCCTCTGCCTTTGTGAAGTGGAAAACAACCCCTGCAGACTCAAAGCTTTAATATTCTTGTGATGTTTATTTTTTTTATTTTATTTTTTTATTTTTTTTGTGATTATTGCATTAAATCCCACGAATAGAAACATTTTGAGTTTCAATTCAAATCACTAACATCTGCTAAAGCTGGGCCCCCAGCTGGCTATCTGTGAGCCATCTCTTCATCACTTTCACTTTGAGATCATTTATCACTTTACCACAAACTCCCTGCAATATCTTTGTATCACTGCTTCATAGTTAATGCCTTAGTGTAACACCCTACACATATATAAATCAATGTCATCTATGATGATTTACTTTATGATTTTTTTCCTAAAGTGCTAATTTTTTGCTTGATCTATTATATTACGTGTTGTAGTGTTCTGCCCATACCCTTTCCTACTGTGGCAAAAACACAGTTTTACCAGCGCACAAACTCTGAAATCCAAAAACTGTTTTTTAATTTAGTATGGGCAACTAACTTAGATTTGAGTTTTAGTTTTCATAATTTTATTTACAATATATTTCTGACATGCCTGGAAGGAAAGACTTAACATAGATTTAAGGAGAGGTAGAGATATTTATGCTTTGGTTGTAAGGGAAATGTGCATATTTGCATCCTTCATTGCATGGAACATGGACTGCCTATGATGTAAATATTTGTCATAATAACTACATGAAAGCTTTCATCTCAATATTGTGAGTTTAAACCTGAGTATAAAAAAGTATAATTAGAAAAACATGGTGATGTCACGGCAAATATGGCATGCGCCATTCTAACCAGTAGAACACTAGTTTCCACATTATTGATCCGGATAAACATGCACTATACCATGGGTCTTCAACGTTTTCCAGGGCAAGGACCCCAAACTGATGGCGAGATGGAGCGGGGACCCCTAATTATATATATTGCATGAAACTGGTCCTATAGTCACTTTATTTCATATGGAGTAATATAATGAAAGTAATTTCTCCCTGCGATTATTATTAAAGTATTTCTGATTCCTGGTTGATGGGACAGGTGTTGTGAATGAAACGGTGCCCAGCTTGAAAGAGCTCCTGTGTGTTGCTGAATGTGTGCATTGATGACTGAAAGTGTGTTGAATTCATTTCAATGTGGATTTAAAGACATTTCAATTAGTGGAAAAAACTGCAGGGAGGAATATATTAAAAAAAGTCTAATCAACTAAAACTATTGAGACCCCCCTGCAGTACCTCTGTGGACCCCCTAGGGGTCGCGGACCCCCTGTTGAAGACCTCCGCACTATACATCAACATGCACACACACTTGAAAGATGTAAAATAACTTGATGAGATACAAAATCCACTTTTTTCACAATTAAAGCACTTTTTTATGTGCCAGCAAACGTGGCAAGATAAAAAAAAAAGCAGTGTAAAAGGAACCAACTATAAATTACTATGAAGTTTGCATCGTGTACAGGTGACAGTTCAATGATTGTTTTCCACTTTTATGTCATGTCACTTTTATTGCAACATTTAGCCCATCAATAGGGAATGAGATTTTGAACACCATTATAACAGGGTGACTTTTTACAAACTATGGAGAAGCTTTCAAACAAAGTGAAAAGTTATCCATGCATATTTAGTTTTCTTTATCCATGTTATGTATTTGTTAGACAAAAATGTTACTTCTTGTTGTTGTATTCACAATTTCACAATTTATTTTATCTTTTCTCTATACTTATTTTATTCATGCTCTATGTTCACCTGAGTGTTTTAGTCATTTTCCAACATGCAAAAGCCTCTTCAGCCTGTTTTATCACATTAATAGTGATGATCCTCTTGTCTTCTCTCTGTATTAGTACTAAGTATAGGTGAAGGAGGTTTCTGGGAAGGCACCGTCAAAGGAAGAACAGGCTGGTTTCCAGCAGATTGTGTGGAAGAAGTTCAAATGCGACAGTATGACCCAAGATTAGGTAAGAAATTGTAATTCACATTTCCATACAAAATTAAGAAAAATCATTTTGGTTGCTGGCTTATTTACACAAAGGAACCATAAATTCACATTGTAGAATTTCTTTTGCATTAATGTGTGTGTGTGTACATACAACAGATGTCTAACCATCAGAGTGAGGACCATTTTTCCAATTTCACCATTACAATGAGTGATGTAAAGTGAGGACATTTTGTTCGTCCTCACAAGTTTTTTTGATAATGGTTAGGTTTAGGGCTAAGTTGACAATTGGGTGAGGGTCAGGGTGGGGTATGCATTGGTAATGGTAAGGTTTAGGGTTAGGTCATAGAAAGGGTTGAAAATGACTGAAAATCAATGAAACTCAATGGGAATCAACACATGGTCCTCATTACATATAGCAGAACAAGTAGGTGTGTGTGTGTGTTTGCCTTTTCTTCTCAGCTGAAACACAATTTGTTTGCATGTTTACCTTTTAATCTTCTTTGCTTTATAATTCTCAGAATATGTACAAATCAGGATTCGTTTCACAAGTGGTGTTTGGTTAATCAGTTTGATAATCCACATTTTTTCAAATGTTAATTTTTTTAATTTATTTATAATGAACCACATGTTGCTGTTTGGTGTCCATTCTGAGTGAGCCTGCCCCTCACCAACTATCTCCTTAAAAAAACACACTAACAAATTGTTTCAAAAGTACAGATTGAGAAAGCATAGGGAATTTATATCAGCCTATCCTAAAATAAATCATACCTTTTTAAGTGTCATTTTTATTATATATAAGCAAAATGTAATGTTAAGTGCCTTACTTATTATTTGCTGGTTTTTACAAAGTGTCATGAAATATACTCAAAAAACTTATTTACACTTAGTTTTAGCATTTTTGCTTATGCAATTAACAGTATAAAGATATGGGACACTGATCATACTCATGCCTTTTTTTTAAAAAGAGAGATAATTTAGAGTTTTCACTCTCCTAGTGCTTCCTGTGTTCTCTCCTGTCTTCCTTCCTGCATCCCTGCACTCACAAGCAAAGAAAATCTGTGTAGGTTTTCTTCAATGAATGATAATCTGCATAAAGACATTTTTTTATTTGATGCTGAACATTTGAAGGGTATTTCTTTTAGGGTTATCATGTTTTAACTCTAGATTATTTTTTTTTATTCTAATTTTCTCCATTAGAAGATTTTACAATCATAACATATGTTTTCAGTCCCAAGTGCCAACATTTATAGTGTATTAGCTCAGTTTCTCCATTCTTTTTTTCCATGAGTGTGAGCATTAATATCCCCTCATCATGTGTTAAAATAATGAATTCATTTTCAGAAATTTGAACTACAGTACCTTAATGCTAGTTTGAGCCATACAAGTTTCTTTTCTGTTTGATAAGTTTAATATTTTTTTCCTTTTCTATATATACAAATTAGATTTTTGGTAATTTCAATTTATATTGAAGCCTGGGAGCTTTAAAGATTACTGGTAAAATTAATTTAGATGAACAGGGTTGTTTTAATCAATATCCTCATCTAATGAAATATAAAAACTTGAGTAAAAAAGACATTTTGAAGTTTTTATATATTTTTTAAGGGGATGAAAAGTTACTTTCACGCTATAAATATTGAATTAGTCAGTGTCTGTGAAAGACTAATGAAAACAGGAAACATTCCACACGAATATGTGTTTTGCAATGTTCGTGAAAATCGTCTGAGCTATGTATAAAATTAAAATAAACAACACAAAGTATTTTAAGGCAGTAGTTAGTTTTTTTGTGTAATTATATGTTGAAAGGAGTACAGTAGTGTAGTATAATATAGTGGTACAGGTTTTCAATTCAATTCAGTTTATTTATATAGTGCCAGTTCACAACACATGTCATCTCAAAGTAGTTTACAGAGACAATACAGCCAAATTAACTCAAAGTTTTCCATCTAGGAAAAACCAGCTGATTGCATCAACTCATTGACTCGAAGGCAGTCCCTCACACCAAGCATGCTTGTAGTGATAATAGAGAGGAAAACTCCCTTTTAACAGGAAGAAACCTCCACCAGAACCAGGCTCAGTGTGAGCGGCCATCTGCCGACTGGGGTTTAAGGAGACAGAAGCAGACATACAGAAAGAAGCAAAGATACAAAAGGCAACTCTAAACCAGCTCCACAGGTGGCCCGTCCAGAAAACCCTCAGCAAGGCAGATGAGCACCGAGCCAGTTCCCATGTCAGAGGATAAAAGAGAAAACATATAGTTGGTCACAGTCAGAGAAACAGGACTACACTGAAAAACAGGCCAAGCTACAACATCTATAAACAAAGGTGTTGATGACAGCAGAACAGCTGATATTTCTCTCCAGAATGGTGTCACAGCCAGACCGGAACAGAACAGATGAAGCTACTATGATGAGAAAAGCAGAGAGAGCATAATGTTAGAGATTGAACTAACAAAATCTGCACAATGGGATAATAGATATAGAATGATGAAAAGGGGTCCCTATATCCTCAACAATCTAAGCCTATAGCAGCATAACTATAGAGATAGCTCTGGATAACCTGACCCACTCTAACTATAAGCTTTATCTAACTATAAGTTTTTGTACACTTTGAACAAAACAGAAGGCATTGGTGGAAGATTTCATGAAAGATCTACCGAGTATTTAATTTCTTAACCTATTACTGCAGATAAAACAGACTGTATCCAGATACAACACTAATCGGACATGGTAACGACCCTAAATAATACTAAAGCGTTGTTTGCATATTGTTGTTTTGCTAATATTAATTCTAGATTTCTAAATTATTTTCACATTAAAAGAATAGTTCCACAAACAACCACAAAATATTGTAAAATTGAGTTATATTTAGGCTATTTAATTTACATTTATTTGCAGAGTTAATTAATCTGTGATTCTGTTGGAAAATCATGTTCCACGTTGAGATTGAAAATGAGGGAGTTTTTCATGTCAAGTAATGCCTTCATTTATTTGGCATTTTATATCCCAATCGTATCGAGTCACTAAAATAGTTTCCTGGATATCGAATTTTGTATTTAGTATCTTGACAACGGAAGCACACCTTATTCAAATTATTCCTCTGATCACATCTGAACTATAAAAAATTGAAATAAAAGCCAATATTAACAACTTAAAGGAAATATTTTTACAACTTCATTGGTGACATTCATATTCTGTGCTACATGTCTTCAAGTTATGCAGCTTGTACACAGAGCATCGTATAATTGAACAGCAAAACTTAACCAGTTCCCCATATGTGAGCACTACAGTATGATGCATTAGAGAGTGCCAAATGACCAAACCAGAGGTTACTCTCCTATTCACCTCACACATTGGCACTCGTCCTCACATTAAGCACAGGAAGGGTTTGTAGAAAAGGAGGAGGGATGCACAAACCCAACCCTTCTGCAGTGGCCGAGGAACTCCTCCTAGAGATGGAGAAAAAAGTAATTATATAAAGTGAGGTAATACACACAATCATGTCCTAATTATTAACAATCTTAGAGCTCATCAAACCAGGAACAGCAAACATAAAAAATAAAAAAAATTTGTTTGAAGGAGCAATAAGAAAAACATTTTGGGTTGTTTAACACTGTAGCTGATAACTTGCTGTTAACAAGAGAACTACATTTTGGCAAATTATTTTCTTCTGATTATATCTAAATCTGCGCTTTCAACTATTTTGTTTTCTTTTCTGAAACAGTAATTTATTCCTTATTGCTAAATTTAAAGTAAAAACACATTGTTAAGATTAATTTACTTGTTGTGATTTGAGTAACCAAGTATAAAAATACTTCTACTATCTAAGAAAAGCTGACCAACTTTTTGAATTAAGATGATTAATTTTAATAATTAAATCCTCCATGCTACTGCAACAGATATCAATGTAAACAATGTAACCAGTGAACAAGTGGGAGTACATCAGATTAATGTGACTCTGTTTTGATGTAGACAGCTATTTAATTAACGGATTGTTGTGGGGGTTCTCAAGGGCAGCAACATGTGCAGAGCTTATCTCCACTGAGTCTCATGAAGACATTTCAAGGAAACCAGTTGGCCATCTCGTTGGATAATTTAGCAATGCAGCATAAACCTAGGTTTAGTAATGGGACGGGGAAAGTTGTTTTTTCTTTTTTTTTTTTTCTTTTTTGGTCCCATAAATATCACCCTGTTCCTTCTGTTGTTTTTGGCAGATGTCTCCTTGGGCCTATTTTCGGCGCAGCTGGGGCATTTTCCTGGTTGAAAGCGTTGTTGAGGGATTGAGGTTACCTCAGAGCAGGTGTAAAGAGGGAAGAACAGCCAGGAATCCCTAAACACCCCATTTAAATGCATTGTGAGAAAAAGATAGGGAACGGTTGGAGAGAAAGTGGCCAGATACCGAGAGAGACGGATGGGGGAGTATACTCTAAAAGACAGAAAAACAGAGATGGTTGCGTTTGTCTTCAGCTAAAAAGAAGAGAGAAGGAAGGAGGAGGAAGGATGGGATATTGTGCTAATATTAAAGCACAGTCACAAGTAATGGAAAAGAAAACCCACAGGTATATGGCTTTGAGAGTGGCGGGGTGGGTGTAAAAACTGTCTCAGCCTCCGTGTATATTTCCAAACATTGTGGAGTTTTGTGTGCTGGTGCTTCTGGTCACATTAATTGGCATCCCAATGTGTAATACATTAATATTGTTGAAAAAGTAATGTCAAACCCAGGAAAAAAGTGGAAGTTAAAGGTAATAAAGACCATTCAGTGGTGGAAGATATGTCCAACAGCTGTTTGTATATACATATATGTATATATTGTTTGTATTTTGAATTGTGCACATGTGTCAGTGTCCCGTCCTTTTAACAGTTCTGTACATTGGAATTGCCTCTGCTGGCATTTTTGTATTTCACCTAGAGAGGCAGTAAAGTACCGCTGCATGCTGCATGTTTCATAATTTTAAAAAATACATTACTTACTACAGAATCAAACGTAATTTACCTGTCCTGCATAAGTTTCTCAAACAAAACA